CCTGTTCCAGTCCTTAAAAATTATGGTTGGTACTTGGTAGGTAGGGAGTATGTTTTTTTCTCTCTCTTTGTTTTTATTAGATTTTGACGATCTCTCGTGATCCAACTTGTACAATACAGTTCAACAAAATAAAACTTGTATGAGGACACATCTTTTCTTCCATATTTTCAATGTCAATGTTGGAACTCAAGCAAACAAGAACCCAGGGGTTTCCTCAGAAATTCTTCGGGGAATTATCGGTTGAAAAATCAGCAAATTTTCATGGAAATAATAAGGGAAAAACCCTTAAATTAGAACATTTAGGTGCCAGGATTTTTGGGAGCACTCTTGCTTGGAGAAAGCCCTGAAAATCCCTCGCACAAACCCCGAGTATGTCGTAACCAGCTGGCAGAAAACGCCCCAGAAATGCGTTTCTGTAAATTAGGGTAAACTTGAGGGATTTTGTGACCTTTTTGAATCCCCTGTAGAGCCTTTCGCCCGTCAGGGGAGTGGTTTTGAGAAGGCTGTTGACGACTCTGAGGACGGCGCGATTACCGCAGACACGTGCTCCAACCGGGCACCCCGAACCGGCGCGAATTCTCGGGAAACCGTTCCGCGTACCCCGGCTTCAAATTCACCCCAGGAAGTCGGACGTACCAAAGCTGGCCGCGTTTCTCCATCCGTCATTCCAGCCTCCTCAAGGCCTGATTTCGCTCTTTAGGCCACAGCAAGTAATTTTTATGGATGACATCAGCGCGCGCATTAATTTAAGCTTGATTTTGAAAAAAAAAATTTGTTGCCTTCTGACAGTGGTCAATATGCCGAAAATGGGCAAAGACGTCTGTTGCCGTCCTGCCTTGTTTTTTTTCGCCCGCTCGCATTAGATTTGGAGTCTATAAAATTTACTTGCTGTGGCCTTAGGGCTCTCCCCAAGCAATGAGGCAAGGGTTCGCACTCTCTGTCTCCCCAAAATCCTAGCACCCCTGCAAAAATGTTAAAATTTAGGGTTTTCTCTTAGTATCTTACGAAAATTGGCTGATTTTTTTTGTTGCAACATCAACGGTTTAGGGAGCACCTCTCCCCTAAAAATTTCTTCTCTTATGCTGACAAAGTTCCACAGTCAAGAATCACGTCTCTCCTGTCTTAGATATTCTTATTCGTCTCCTTAACTTCTTGAACACTCGACTTTCCTGTTGTCTGTTCTGATTATGTGAGGACCGGTGCGGTTTGCAGTGATGTAATGATATGGAGGCCACTCCAACTTATTCTCTTGGTTCTCAGCAGAACAGTTTTTAGATTGGAATTTAGCAAAAGGTTAAGATGTGAACAACTGGGGTTTGAACGAAACTTTCCCTCAGACAATTTTGATGTACAATTTAATTTTTTCTCCTCTTGTGCACATTGTATATAATTCTGTACTCAAGGCCACTCTAAAAAGCAGTGCTCAGTCACTGGGAGTGCCAACCCTGGTAAAAGAATACAGAAAAATAGAACATTTTGTAGTTTGTACTCTCCAGTGTCACTGATGAAAGCTAGTGGATTCTACCTGAAACGTCTGGCCGTTTCCAAAATCATATCCAGTTGCTTGAGTAACTTTTTTTTTAGACCTGAGAACCGAGCAATACTGTTGGTGTGGCCTGTAGTATGAGTATCTGTGTGTCAGACATGTGTGTGGACTGATGGCACTTTGCCTTCAGACTTGCCGTGTGGGTGCCAGTCTCAGTGCCAGGAGTTTTGTGCCTCCATGTGGGCAGCAGAGGTTCATGTTTGGTTAACCTGGATTGTCTCCTCCAAAAAAACTCTGAACTTTGAAGTTCGTCTGATATTTAACCAGTCAGACATTCCTGCATCACATGTGATACAAACTATCTCAGAAAACTGTTAAAACCTTCCTGCGCTACATGTGATAAAAATATCATACAAAAGTGACGCTTTCCTGCATCACATGTGATACAAACTACCTTAGAAAGTAAACCTGCTTTTCTGACAACTCTCCAGTGTCACTGACAAAAGGTAGTGGATGCTACCTGAAATGTCTGACTGTTTGCAAAATCATAATATTATATCCAGTTGCTTGAGTAACTGTTTTTGGCGAATCTTATTACCTGGATGTCTAACCTTCATCGACATGCCTTAAAAAACTTTCCTGCATTACATTTATTTGCATACAAAAGTTTTTCACTTCACAACCAAAAAACATTCCTGCTTCCGACCCACAAAATTCCTGGCTACCAGCAGTTTCATGTATGTTTGTTTGCCTTGTTTTGTTTTATGTATAATATACTGTATTTTGTATCCTTTTTGGAAAGAACTGAGTAGAATTTTTGGGTGTGTTTTGTCTGTAATGGTGGGCATGATAGACATGGTAGCATTGCATGCAACATGTTCTAGCCGTACTGTAGTCAAATTATGCAAAACCTCCGGTTAATTGGCGAATATCATTTGTTTATTTTTCCTGTAGAGAATAAAAGTAAGTAAACATTGACGCCAGTTTGTGGTAAGTCTTGGGGTGTTTTGTTGTGGCCGTAGCGGAGGGAGGGAATGTTTCGGTGTTTGAGATGATGTAAGTAGCATGTAGCTTCCGTATCAGAGTTCTCACCAGGATTTTTTCGCAGCAGAGGGGTCAGGTACAGAAGGGCAACTTTCGCGGCGCACTGTCGTGCATTGAGCCAAAAAATTTTGAAACTCATAACACCCTGAGACACTATTTATCGCTTTATGAAGGACAGATTTTGTGAAGTTAAGGTTTATCCTTTGCTATGGCTTAATTCTAAAGTTATATTTTCATATTTTTTGCAAGATTTATGAAGGTTTTTCCCCCAAAAATACCCCTATGCTGGTTGAAAGACAGCATAGGGGTCCAACTCACAGCATAGGCAGCCTTCTCAAAACAAGCTGGCAACAGGCAAAAATCACCGCTTACTCAAATTTTTGCACCGCCTAATTTCGTGTAAATTTAAGAAAAAAATTGTAGTCTCCATTACAAACCCCTTCATGGCTTGCCTGCTACTTTCTTATTTCAGCCACCTTCTCTAAATTTTTGTGAGAAGGCTGAATTAGGGGGCCCGTATGCTGAAAAAAAAAGGCCTGGCGAGAACACTGCATATGTGCTTGGCGTACGTTGTTTGCTGTGTGTGTTATTTCTGGATGCTGACATCCTCTCTGCACTTTTCCCCACCCTCTGTAACGTAGGGTCACTTGATAGCTGCGGCGTTTCAAAACGGCTACCATTGAGCCAACTTGGCAAACGACTATGAGGTATATTATATGATAATAAATAACCTACAAAATCAACTTAGATAATTACAGAGAACACAGCTGACATGGGACCCCCCTAGCCGGTCCAGCAGCCACCAGACCCCCCCTCTGACCTTTTATCCCCCCCCCAGCAATTGGTACCCCCTGAAACAAAAAGCCACTGTGCAAA